GCCCGGGGCGGGTGCGGCCTCCTCCCCCAGAGGCTGGGGGTCCGGCTGCAGGGGGCAAGCACCAAGCTGATGGGTCCGGGCACCCACCTCTGACCTCCACGCCCACCGTCCCAATCCCTCAGGAGTAAGAAGTGGTCACCAGCACCCCGGGGGCCGTCCTCCCCCCGCCCCTGCTGATCCTCCCCAGGGAGGCTCGCTTCCAGGCCCCCAGCGATGCTGCTGCCTCACCACACCCCCTCTTGGCCTCTGCATCAGCGTGAGGTCACTGTGGGTGGGGCTGAGGGAGTGGATTTGCCGCCCCTGGCCTGTGGTCCCCAGCCCCGAGCGGACAGGGTTGGCAGCACCTCTGTGTGAAAGCAGCAGCACCAGCCTCGAGCCCCGGACGCCAGGGGGAGCCTGGCAGCCTTCCTCCGTGCAGCTCCCTGACAGGGCCTGGCCCCCTCAGCCCTGCTTGCCTGGGAAGGGGCTGCCCAGGGGCCCGGAGCGGTTCCTATGCGTATCTGGGGCCGGGCTCCAGCAGAGGCAACATTGCAGGACAGTCCTCTCACTCTGGCCGGGAGGCCAACGGTAACCAGCGCTCCCCATTCTCCCAGCCCGACAAGCACCCAAGAGCCCAGCCACCCCCAAGCCCAGGACACTCACAGGGCCCCAGCCCGGAGGACATGCCGCCTCCACGCAGGGCTCGAGGGCAGCTGGGCTCCGGGCACGCGTCCGACACCTCCCACCTGACAGCCCAGGACAGCCATCAGGCCCTGCCCCTGCCATCGGCTGTCGGGCAGCCTGGCCACCGGGGCAGGGAGAACCTGCTCCCCAATATCCAAGAACCCAAAGAGGGGCCCCACAAAGAAGCAAGCCCGGGCCTCTCCCTGAAGGGCCGGCCGCCGGCTGCAGGCACTGCGCTGGGCCCCAGGGGCAGTGACACAGGCCCCACCGCCTGCTCCCAGAGGCGAAGGGGGGCCTCTGCCAGGTAACCAGGTGCTCCCACTGCCCAGCCGGTGTCAGCTGCAACCGGGTGACCAGGTCAGGGACAGGGAATCGCTCCAGGAGTGTGCCAGCCCGAGGGGCAGCGAGTGTGCCAGCCCGAGGGGCAGTGCTGCCTGGGTGTGTGCTGGGGCGGACTGGGAGGCAGGACCGGCCCTTGGTGGGAAGAGTGGTGGTCGCTGTGTCTGCTGTGGACGCGAGAGGGGAAAGGAGCCCAGCCACGTGTGCGCCACCAGGACCCAAGGGACAGGTAACAAAACGGGGGCCCTGGGCACCCAGCCGGTTGGCAGCGAATCAGAGTGATAGGCCGCTGCCAGCAGGACATGGCAGCGGCCACAGTGACGAGAAGCGGCATTTACTGCTTTCCTTTCGTGGCCTCGCTTGGGCCTCACAGCCCCTCCCTGAGCAGGGCCCCTGAGGTTCAGAGAGAAGTGGGTGCAGGTCTCCTGGGCAGGGAATCTGGAGGTGGCACTCCGAGGCCTGGGCCGCCCCTGCCTGTCACCGGGATGGCAGCGCCTGGCTAGAGGCCTGGGGAACGGGGCATTGAGAGGGGCCGGGCTCAGCGCAGGGACAAGTCCTGGCGGGGAGAACCTGCCCCACCCCGCGCTCACCTGGGGGGGCAGGGCTGGGAACTGCAGGTTTCCACCACCGCGGGCTTCTGGGACAGGGCCCTGCCAGGTTCTGGGTTGGCTGGAGCGGGGGTGGGGGGGGCGGAGCAGGCAGATCTGTCCAGCTGACTCGCTGCCCTGGGCTGGGCATGTGTCCCTTCGGTACCCAGACACGGCACAGGCCGGCCAGCCCGCCCCAGCTCTCCAGGTCCCCACCGTCACCTGAGTCTGAGGACACCTGCAGAAGGTGCAGGCGGGCGGCTGCCCAGCCCTGCACCCAGGAGGGACCGCCTTGCCTCTAATGCAGCGGTTCTTAACCTGTGGGCTGCGACCTTTGGCGGTCGAACGACCCCTTCACAGGGGTCGCCTAAGACCATCCTGCATCTCAGATATTTACATTACGATTCATAACAGTAGCAACATGACAGTTATGAAGTAGCAACGAAAATAATTGTATGGTTGGGTCACAACACGAGGAACTGTATTTAAAGGGCCAGAAGGTTGAGAACCACCGCTCTAATGTTATGCTCCCACCAACCACACCTGCCTGGCCGGGGACTTTCCATCAGCTGCCCTCCGTGGCTGCCTCCGAGTCGCCCACAGCCCGCCCAGCTAGGTGATCCCCCCACGTACAGTGACCACCTGCGCTCGGGGCGCGTGTCCCGCCCGCAGG